ACATGCGAAGATCTATCCATCACATCAATTCTTCAACAATCAGTGTGTTAAAGGGGGAATACAAGCAGGAAATTCTGCTTTATTCTAGACATTTTTACAGAGTATTACAAAGAATCACCAATTCCTAACGCGGAGCTTGTCCAAATATTAATTGTTCTTCCCTCTTGTGAAGTGTCAAATTCTTCACAAAAGCAATGTTGATTAATAAATAATTAAGGATCTCCAGTAATTAGTCAGTGAATAATATATTCACAATTAGAATATGTTTTCTATCATTTAAATGGCAGAAAAATAAAATACAGCTGATTTCCTTAGACTCTCACTTTAAGTTCTACTGAATTCTATCTGATTAATGTGTTTCTAATTTGATAGTTTGTGCCGAATAGTCTATCAATTATATGTAAATTATTTATGTAAGAATTTATTTAACTGATTTTATCAAGTGTCCAAGTGCATTATTGAATACTAACAATTTCATACTTTTAGCTCTAATGAGGATTCATGTGATCTAATTGTTCCATTATGATTACGATACAAAAATAGGACTAAGAGTATGACTACCTTAATCTTATTAGAGCATTTTATATAATGGAATTTTGGAACATTGTGCATCTCCATTAACCAGAATATCAGCAAATATAAAACCCTAATTATTTGTGTTGAGTTCTGTTCTGAAGGATTAGATATTTGACATACAGATTTATTTGTTGTAATTATATATTGGTAAACAGATCTAGATTCAATGGTTTTCTTTTACCCCAAGAAATTGCATAAAATCACAAACTTTCTCTACTAATATTTTATTACCATGATAAATCACTTTATTGTGGTTTGAAACCAGTATTAACAATTTTGTCCCAACCCCTGTGAAACTTTCCATCTTCCCATGAATGTACTTGTTTTAATAACCAATAAACTCAAAAGCGTTTTCGTGTAAATCTGTGTAACCTTTATTTCTATAAAAACCTTGATATACAATGTATCTTGACCCGCGCAGTATATAATTTTTACAGTGAAGTCTCCTCTCATACGCAGACATTCCATTACATCTACATGTATGTTAATTTGAAAATATTATTTCTAAGTATTTTCTATTCATTAACCATCTATACAATCTGAAAAATCTTTCAGTTTATCCTGAGTCACTCAGCAGTATTTACAATACAGCCTATCTTCCATATATAAATTTAACACAATGACATATAGAAATTGGAGCTTAACAGCCAATAACTTTGGATCCTGTTTCCCACAGTTTACTTTTTTTCAGGGTTCTCAATTCTTTAAGTTAACAATTTTCTTATGATGTCACACAATCTGAATTAAATACAGATCCTATTTCGTTTTGTCTTTTATAGTTCAAAATTTTGTCTTTTACTTGTCTTTACTACACTAGGATCTAAAAGAGTTGTTATATTACTGGCGTTTTGACTGAAGTGAGGGATGAGAAAATGAAACAGTCTGTTACGGTGACTTCTTGGCGTGCCATGCGCGAAACTGTGGATAAACGACTAGAAACGTCAACGCTGATTGATTAATCAATGTCTGATGTCATAGGGTCAAAAGCCACTCATACGAACCCTAACACAACCTACCAGTACAACTTGTTAGATCTTCATATAGTGTAGTCCATCGAAAGTATAAAAAAAACGCAATGAAATACAGATCTGTATTTTAATCAGATTGGATGTCACACAACATCAACGTTACTTTTTGTTCATTTTAACACAGTGTTTATATACCTCACTTTAAAGGTTAAGTTTATGTGATACACATGTACATGTTTAAAGTTCTACTTTTTTAGTTTCTCTTCCCATCTAAACAACTAGACATTCCTTGTCAGACGTTTCATCCTTCACTACTAATTTGGGGATATCAGACTGGAAAACCATGAGGAACGTTCTCCACATCACCGAGACTGAACCCAGAACTTCCTCGTTGATGAACCTTATACTAAAATTTTATGACAAGTATGTTGTTGTTTGCTTTTATTATTGAGAAAGTTAATAAAATAAATGTTACTACAAATATTTCAAATAGGTCATGTTTCATAAATACACTGTATAAGAATTATTGACTTGAATTTTCCATAAATATATACATGTATCTCCACCTGATTAATGTATATCGTTGAAAACCAATAGGATTCTTTGTCAGATGAATATAATTTTAAACCACTGTGCATAACTTGCAAGTTAATCAGATAATAACTTCAGCCTTTAGAACATCCACAAATTTTTTTTCAAATCGATGAAGGACCATAACTCTGACAGTAACCATCAGAAATTTTTTAAATATGCGTCATGACTCATGTATAAATTTCAAGTCAAACTCAGAGGATTACTAGTATTGTACCTTCATGTAGAGCGTCCACAAGATTTGTGTAATTGATTAGAGGGGATAACTCTCACAGAAGATGCATTTATTTCGGTTGATTATGTTTATTATCATCACATATATTTTTCCGGCAATTTTGGAAAATGTTCTTGACCACCTGCTCTCTCTCAGTCTCAACCCCTTCCCACCCTCTACTATAAAATCCGGATCCAACCACCATGTAATTTATAATAAAGTGACTTTGAGAGAATACATGTATCTGCTGATATAAAAAAGTAACAATTAAACAATCTGATTAAAATACAGATCTTTATCTCGTTTCGTTTTTTTTTTAAATACTTTCGATGGCCTCTACTACATGAAGATCTGACCGGTTGTAGTTGAAGGTTGCGTCAGGGTTTATACGAGCGGCTTTTTACCCTAAGACGCCAGACACTGATTAATCAATCAGCATTGACGTTTCTAGTGGATTACCCACAGTTCCGTACACAGCACATCAAGAAGTTGTTGTAACAGACCATTTCATTGGCTAATCCCTCACATCAATCAGGATTCGGGTTATATAACAACACCTCCAGATCCTTGTGTAATAAAGACAAGTAAAAAATGAAATGAAATATGATCTGTGTTTTAATCAGATTGACATTTAAATTCAATGATACATGGAGCCATTTGTATTATCAAGAACAAAACCATACAATATAAACAACACAAGATTCACCAAGAAAAAAGATCCCCTAATATAAAAATTTTATGCCGAGAAGCAATGATATAAAATTTCCGGAAGATATCTGCTTATGTGAGTAATAGTAGCAGGATGTAAATATAATAAGAATGGCGACCGGAAATGAAATATCTGAAGAACTGCTCGTAGAGAAACAAAGGCAGATTACATCAAATTAACAAAGTGAAGTGTTTTATCACCGATTTCAAAATCTTATTTTATGAGGTAGCAAATGACAAATCACGTCTTCTTAACTAGGAATTGCTGCACCAAAATTACTAAGAAAACAAACTCCTATGAATGATTTTTCCATTAAATGGATTTTTTCTGCAAGCATTAAAGTTTTATGGAAACAGAATCCAAAATTATATTGGAATGAAATCTAAAGGTCAACTCGTAAGTGTCAAGTCTTTCTCGAAAGGTTACATTTCGTGGTCAATTAACTGTTAAAAAAAAAAATAAAACCCAGAAAAAAAAGTTTATCAATACTTCAGCATGATTGAATCTCGTCCCTTGGTCTCCGGACATGAGTTGGTGCTTTTCTCGTCTATTCCTGATGTCTGACTGTGGTGCCCTTGCTAATCTATTTTTATGCACCCACATTGAATTGTGGTTGTATATTGTGATCAGCCCCGTTTGCCTGTCAATCCATCCACCCGTCTGGCATTTTTAGAGGTCAAAGTAAATTTTATCATCAGACTGTTTGAAATTGCTTTGAAATTTAAACACAGAGTTTTATGTTCCTACCCCCATACCAATGTGGGCTTATAATAGTTCAGTTGATACATGTAAGTAACATATGTGTGAATGGGCTCTAGACAACATTTTGATTTATAAAATAAAAAGCTCTTTATTATAATTGGTATAATTTCTGGGGAATCAGTGGTTTATTTCTTCAAAAAAAAACAAGTTTTATCATTAAAAAGAATGGTATTGGATGCCAGAATAAAGAATTGGCATCTTTCAATAAAGGTGAGCTATTTATAATTATAATTATATTCTTTCTGAAAACAGAACATATGTATTATGTAGTTTAACTGGACAAGGATTTGCATGTTTAACCCGAGACAAAGTACATGTACTAAATTTCAACAGGGTTCCTCTTTTAGACTTGCTGAACAATACCAGCAGGTTTCAAAAATATGTACATGTTACGTTTACGTTACATACATTACAATATACATGTACATGTATATTATTGTCAACATTTCTGATTCTGGTAAAAAAAATTCAATCTGGAAATACAGTCTTTTAGCTAGACAATCTGATATGGACAAATGAGCAGATGATGCTCAGGTGGCACATAAAGTTGCCTCCTCGACACATAAACACATCCAACCAAGAATACTACTTAATTGAACTTCACATAAATATGACCTGACATTTTCTAACTAAAGTACAAAAATCCCATCAGTGACAACTCCTTTTTAAAGTAATTTAAAATTGATGAAAAGATGAAAGTTTAATGAATGTGCAAGTAGGAGTTTTTCTGGGTCGCTTGATCAACTTAATGGGAAGTTGAAACCAACGAGCCAACTATTTGTTCATACCCGATTTTTTACTCAATATTTTCTAGTCAATAGATTTACGTCATCACAATTCTTTTTTTAATCTGGAGGCTAATTTAAGAAACTAGGAGGCATTTTGAATTCCCACACGTGTTATTCTCTAACGCTGTTTAGAGCGATTGTAACAAGAATATCAATATTGCTCCTACTATATCAACACACTTTTGTGATAATTAAAATGGAAACAACACATATTTTAAAGTGACGCTCTAGATTAAACATCCATAAATCTTTCAACTGTCATTATTTACATGTGATAAGCCATGGATGGTTAAAACCGCTAATTTCTTTGTTATGTTGATTTCAAAGGTTAAAACACAAATGTGAAAGGAAATTAGGCACATATACACAATCATGTACATGTATATACTTACCATCGTCACAGACTTCTTCGGGTCCACAAACATTAGCAACAAGACAGCCTGCAAAATATCAATTAATATTAATGGGTTAATTCTTTTTTTTTAAAGTTTCATTTGTTATTAAAAATAGTAATACATGTACATGTAGTTTTATTTCTTTTTCTTTTTTTTTTAATGGCAACAGTATTTTATTTCAAATGGATGAAAATGATCTGGGAACAGCATAGCCTATGTCATCCCGCTCCCCCAAATAGTTACATTCAATATCAAATGTGATGAGTTTCATTTCATTTAATATTGAATGAGAAAAGTTTCATTCAATATCATATGAGAAGAATTTCATTTAGTATTAAATGTGACAATTTTCATTCAATACAATATTGAACAAAAGAAATTACAAGACTACCCTCATTGAATTGTTAAAGTTAGTAAACTTGTGAATGTTATCAATAAAGCTGTCTGTTATTATACATTGACTAAATGCACTTTAAAGATAAAAATTAAACATGTTATTGACAATGGTACATGTACATGTGCGTCTTGTAGTTTTAAACCTTATGATGGAACATAGACAGCATGATCATGTATATACCACCAAGTTGAGTGGAAGAACAAAGCAGTTACTAATTAATGGTTGTATGTTTGATCCTTACTGACGTCAAATCCTTGTTTTGAACAATTTGTTTCGAACAAGACACTTTATCCACCTATTCCAGCTGTGAAACGACAAAGGGTACTATCACAATGGATAGTGCATGTTACACAAAAGCATGTTGCAACTAACAGGCAGCATGGTTGGAGCATTATAAAAATCTCAGAGATAAAGGGAGGCAACCAGACTTTACCAGAATCTTAGAATCTGGGTAATAGTGCATAGTCCTCCGAGTATGCTTATAAGGTAGTGTGGAATTTAGTTTGTTATAACAATCATCATTATTATTATATGTTACTGTATATCATAATAAAACTCCACCCTCTAAGAATATCAAGAAAAGCATAATTATTAACAACATATACAGCTCTCAACAAGCCAACAGTGAGGCTGATGTCCCCCGCCGAAATAGGAAAATAATTAGAGGACACATACATGTATAAATTTATCACAAATTATCTTTTACAAAGTATTGAACAATCAAACAGTATATCTTTACTTATAGTCTAAGCATACAATGTTTTTGATGGAATAATTATAGCATATTAAGGGGAAAACATGCTCTATGCCTACAGATCTAGAGTTTGGTTGTATCAACGGGTCTATTTTCCATCTTGCTGCAAGTTGTGCCAAGTTCACTGTTTTCTTTCTGTCATTAAATGTCAATTCATTATTGCATACTACATATTTAATTAATTTATAATAGTTTCTTTTTCAATTTGAAGTATCAACCAATCAAATTGCTTATCTCTGCTTACCCTAAGCGGAAAATGCTCATCTTCGAACTCCATCAAGGCATTGACCTAATAAACACATACACCAAGTTTGAACATTCTAGCTCAATTAAAAGTTATCGTGTCCCAAAGCATCAACCAATCAAATTGCTTATCTCTGCTTACCCTAAGCAGAAAATGCTCATCTTCGAACTCCATCAAGGCATTGACCTAATCAACACATACACCAAGTTTGAACATTCTAGCCCAATTAGGAAGAGAGTTATCGTGTCCCAAAGCATCAACAAAGCATCAACCAATCAAATTGCTTATCTCTGCTTTCTTCGAAAGGCGGGGGACAATTAGAAGATGGGGGAGGTGGGCTCGCCATGGGGAAATGTGCATGCCTGTCCAATATTTCCTAGATTCCCACTTAGTCTACATGCAGGTCTATCCTCCTCCGTTTCGCCATTTAAAAACAGTAATATTTGGAATCTAGTATGATTGCTAATTGACATGTGCATGTATGGTAAATATACACAAGAAAGTACCGATATATCACTATATAGATCAATATTTCTGTTTAAAATTACAGATGCTATCCTGCGTACAATCTTGTTACTGAAGAACTCTACAACGCAATAAATCAAATTGATGGTAGATCCATTTGGAAATAATAAGACAAGGCTTTTAACATGTCAGCTATTCACACAAAACTCAATGACCTGGGGCTGAATCTAGCCAAACTTGACTTTTTAACTTTGACTAAAATAACCAGCATGACAAGAATCCAGAAAGTACACGGATATGATGAAAGGATTTAGAAATCTTTGATCAGAGTATTTGATCAGAAATAATTACAGCTCTTTAATGACAACAGGTTAAAATGGGTTTATGTCACATGTCATCATGGAGAATGGAAATTTAGAGAGTGAAGCTACATACATGTAGATTAGCAGTTTACAAACGAATATACATGTATCGTTTGTATAAATACACTATAGGAATTGCATAGCTTGCACATGGTGTTTGTTTTTTTATAAAAATGTGTTAATTAATGTAGGATATGCAACATGGGAATTACCAAACTCGGAAACGTGTACTTGCTAATTCTATTGATTCTCTTGTTATTTATAGTAAATACAAGCCATGAAGCACATGCTTTGTTTATGGTTGGAATATATTATGTAATTCAGGATCCCAATTCTTGATTCGCAGTCCTATACATGTAGATATGAAAACCTCCATAGATACATGCATATGTAGCCTATTCAATTAACTTTACCTACAAGTAGCAACAATTTAATAGAGGATGGTTTTAAATAATTGCTAGAAAGTATTGATCATTGTTCCAAAATTACACACAGTTAAATGATTTCTAACAATAATTCAACTGAAGGGAATTAAATTTTTGAAATGAAATGAAATGTTGTTTTTTTTATGTCCTATTTTTCTGCAATCAATTTTTGATACATGTAATGTATATCTTTTGTTGTGTAAGAATGAATGATATGGGGTTTATTGTCTATCAACCCTATACTCCAGTCATTATCAGAATTTTTATACATTGATGAGAACTTGTCTAGATATCACCATTTATCTTGATTTTAATTCCAACTAAAGGATTTGTATGTACACTACAGTGTTTTCATGGATGAATGGACTTTTGTCCAAACAATTGTGTGGTAATGGTAAATTAGATATCAATCATGAATAGATGGAACCAGACTTGAAAACCATGTACCGAAGTAGAGTTATGGATTATTATGTCCCAGTCGGAGCAAAACAGTAGGGCGTTAAATCCCATTTCATTTCATAAACATAGCCTTTATCGTTGTTTCAGATTTTACAGGAATACATGTCGAATACAATGCAAATGGAATGTCAAATGTAAGAAAATGTAAGACAAATGGAGTTTCTGCATTTCATTGAGTGGGCTAATGAAGATGGGCAGACGCCATGCAGTGTGCTATGCTGGATAATTTATCTGCACAGAGGCGCCATGACCTGTTCTTATTCAAATTCCAACTGTCAAGGGATCTTTTACATGCCCAACAATTTGTACACTGGCCATCGCTTTTCCATCCTACATCACTGACACGGGGGGAACCAGGCAGCAACAACCTAACACAGGGAACGAACACAGGACCTCCAGGTTAGCGTGCCAACGTCTGACTTGATCTCGGCATCCATGGACTAAACCCAGTTACCATTTAAAGTGAATTTTCAGAGGAAAAAAAACATGGCAAAGTCAAATAACAGGTGCAATTTGTTTGTCAAAGCATTTTGGGAGAACTTTAAAGGTAAAAGAATACATACATATACATGTACCATAAAAAAGCAACTTGCATTTAGAAAATAGGCCTACCCGATTCTCTATTTTCAGCTCCAATTGCAATTACAACTTTAGCATATTAAATAAAGATGTCAACCATAATCAGGTGTAAACAATGAGGACTCCACATCAACAATCTTATTTTCAAACAGCAAGATTTGAGTTTTTAGTGTGGCTTTGTTTTTAGCCAATCAAATTACATGTAGCCCATTATGGTTCACTCCAAAACAGATCATAAACTAATCCAAAGTGTGACCAAATTGTTCCTGGAAATTGGTTCACAGCGTGAAATCAGATCGAGGTTTTCCCATGTACATTGTCAATTTGAAACAACACTTTTTTGCTCAGTTTCAAAGTGGGTTACTATATTTTGCAAAATAATCTCATATGTCATAGTGTCGTCAAGCTTGATTGGCACTTGGAACTGCAGCATGCAGTTGTCCATATCATGTTAAGTGAAACATTAATAAAGCAGCATTATGCAAGATTTATAAGATTTATAGAAAGAACTGATAGTTCTTGTTATAGAATAGTTTAGAAATAGATCAGGCCTATTATTAGCAGTCTCCATGAGTGATGTCAAGCATTTTAGGAAAATTTTGACTTGATCAGTCATATTAGCATTTAACTCAGATGATTATGGGCTTGTTATGTGAATAAATTTCTAAATAATGCTAAGCAAGAAAAATGCCATACAATAGGCGAACCTAGCTCTCGCATTATAACATGAGCCATAAATCTTAGTTTCCCTTAAAGTACACTGCTCTAAATAAATTTACATATATCAATGTATCATGGTCTCAAAGGAGTTTATGGTCTCACAAAATATCCATTAAATTATAAGTAACTGTAATTTCATTCTTTTTCTTTCCTTTTACACTGCTCTTGCAAAGTTTATGACTTTGTCCATAGTATTTAGATTCAACAAAAAAAAACAAATAACAGCTTGATCTATCTAATATACTGGTATTAAAAGACATCCAGGAAGAGAGATAAAAAAATTCCAGCTGAGGTAAAATCCTGTTATTAAGCCAGATAAACAAATCGTTAGTTTTATCTCATCGTGGGCAGACACGCTTGATTCAGTCTCCAAAAATCAATAGTTTATTCTCATTGGAAAGTTGTAGCAAAAAAATAATGCTAAAGCTAATGGCAAAGAGCTATATTGACTTCAAATGACTGGCCATTGTTCATATTGTTTAGGCCTAATAGATGTATATAATATACTTAATGATTGATGAGCACCTGCCATAATGGTATGTTTTATAGGATGTTGCAATTGATTGAGTTTTACATATTTAATTAATAAAATGCTTCACTAATGACAGTGAAATCACTGGAAATCAACTGTAAAAGAACA